AGTGCTTATCTGACCGTGGTCTGTTAACAAAAGCTTCCTAGACTGACTCTGGTCCACAGACTATTCTTTGGATAGAACAGCTCTGGACCATCTTCGTCTGCTAGATAATTGTATAAAATGCCACAGATTGAGTGGCTCAAACAGAAATTTATTTTCTCACTGTTCTGGAAGCTAGAAATCCAAGATTAAGGTGTCCCCTGAGGACTCTCTCCTTGGTCTTAGATGGCTGTGTCCTCGCTGTGTCCCCCCATGGCCTTTCTTCTCTATCATACACGTCCCTGGTGACTGTCTCTCTTCTGATAAGGACTCCAGTCCTGCTGGATCAGGGCCCCACCCTATGACCTCATCTAACTTGACCTACCTCCCTATCTCCAAACACAGTCACACTTGGGGTTAGGACTTGACATATGAATTTGGGAGAGGAGGAGACATTTAGTCCATAACAACAGTACAGCTCATTCTAGTTTCTGCAGTTCTTGACCTTAGCTTTGTAATAGTCTGAAGAAAAAGGCCTGTGGACCTTTCTCATCTCTCATCTTGGAAGGGATTAAAAAGTGCCAAAAAAAAAAGTCACTTAAACAGCATTCTTTTATCCACAGTTGATCTCCAATCAATGAAGATCATTTTAACAACCAAGCTTAAAATTCTCTCCATCTTGATTCTCCTGCTCCACCTGCTCTGTTTATCTTTAAACAGACTTTCAACAAAATTTCCTCACTATAAAATTAGACTCACTATCTTTTCAGTTTTTTTTTTTCTGTTTACATTTACTCAGGTTTCTTGGGAATTAATTTTGATGTGTGAGTTCTAGCATGTGTTTCCTTAGTAGAATGACAGGGATGCAGCTAATAGAGGACAAAATTATAAATTAAATGGTTTTATAGAACATTTATAAAACTGCTGGAATATTTACATGCTAGACTCTGTCTATCCCTTGCCAGCTGTGCCCCATCCTGTGTGTACAGGGGCAGATCAAATATTTTGTCAGAAAGCTCATGAACCGTAACAGTATTGACTTTGTCTTTGAATAGAGATTTTTCTTTCTCCTTTCTCTGCAACAGCATAAATTTATACTGTCAGATTACACAGTTTGTTCCTAAAGATGTGTTCACCTCTTTTTCTGTTTCCATAGCAATCTGCTGATTTAACTCATGTGTCTTTAGGAAATGACTACTCAAGAAACCTGACACATTCAACCTGATAATATTTGTAATCAGTTCTACTTTGGGTACAATGTCTGGTTCAGGAAGTCTATGCTTGTTTAATAATATTTCTCCCCAAAAAAATGATGATTGTCAGACTACCTAAAATTGTGTTTGTAACCAACAAACAAATGTTTGAAAGCTTAGCTGCACATCATCTACACTTAAAAGTCCTTCAAAGAAAATATAGGCACTCAGAAAGTGCTTTCTTAAGTATTTACAATTCTTTGTTTAAAATAAGAGATGAATTTGAATTTTTAAGTAGAACAAAAAAGTATAGACTGCAAAAATACATCTTAAGTCACTAATATCCTCACTGCCATATTTCATCATGCAAATTTTTGGATTTTATTCAATCCACAGATAAATATTAGAAAACCTTTTTTTGTGGCACCCACACCCACCTATAACCTTTGTGAATAGTCATATGGTAAACACCTGGTTATATTTTATACTGAGTTTTGAATTTTTATGTGGAAGCATTTGCATTATTAAGATTTGCTTATAATAGCAAATATAAAAGCCTTCGTTTCTTGATCTGCAAAAATTTGGAGAGTCAGACTAAAAGTTTGGAGGCACTTTAACTCCTTTTTCCTTTTTTACTGACCTACATACTTCTCATCTTGTGATCTAATTGTTGTTGTTCTTGTTTGAAATTATATTACAACTCTTCAAATGGAATGTAAGTTCCCAGGAGCAGAAGTCACATCATGTCTGCTTTATATCCCCTACAGCCACGCTACTCAAATTACAGGTCCTGAAATTATTTGTTATCAATCCTTGATAAGGTCAGGAACCTCCTTCCACCAAAATGTAATTCAACCACATGGTACATCAACTATGTCACTAAGAACACTGTCTATTTCAATCAACATATTTTCCTAGCAAGACTTTTGGAGTAAAGAAAGCTATTTGTGGACTTATCCCCCGGTACAAACTCTTTATCTCACCACAGCAAATGGTTCCAGGAAGAGTACTAGTCTGGGGGCCATACTTTAAACAGTACTGGTCTACAACAGCTTACAAAAGATTCTAAATAAGTATCTACTGTGTGACGTGTGACAAGTGGCTCATCTAGTCATTTAATAAATATTGGTCGAGCATCCATGATGGAGCAGAGCACTGCGGGTGCTCTGGTGGGGAGCACAGACACCTGCAGGTGCTCACAGTCTACTAAACAAGATGACATCTTTTTAAATAATCAAGTAGAAAACAGAATCATAAATTTACAAGCAAGGCACAAATAAGATACCATGGGAGTTCAAAAGATGGAAAGAATCTGCTTAACAATGCGCTGGGAAAGGGTAACCTGGGACCTCTTTCCCTGAAGGAGGGACAGGATGTTGAATGATGTACTTGGACTTGGGAGCCGATCACCAGCAGCAAAGCAAGCATGCAGGGAAGGTTTAGGCAAGTTCAGGAAGCTGCCTGAGTATGAACATTGCCTTTCTCATTGTTTGACATTGGACAAGCATTTAACCTCTGCACATTTCCTTTTCCCTATCTTTAAAAGGAGACTAATAGGAGAACATACCATCTCATAGGATGAAGAACAAATGGCTTAAGTCAAGGAAAGTGCTTAGAGCAGCGGTAGGTGCTCAGTTGTCAACTCTTACTGTTATTACTATCATTCATTACATTACTATTAACTTTGCAGTAGCTCTTTGAGGCTTTAGTGCTTTTGGTTTGACACTGTGGGTAATAAAAAGCTACTGGAGGCTTCAGACCACCATTGGAGAGAGAGAAGAGAAAAACGATTGAGGCCAGAAATGTGGTAATTGCCTACAGTTAAGGAACAAAAGGAGAAAGGAAAAATCAGCAAAGGACACCAAGACACCATCTTGAAGGGAGGAAGAGAACCAGGTAAGCACGGGCACAAGGATTTGAGCTAGGAAAAAGTGTTTTGGCAGAATGAGGCAGGCCATTAACAGAGTCAGCTACTATAGAAAGCTAAAGAAGGGTGGTAACTAAAAAAAAGAAAAGAAGCAGTTGAAACTGAGAATTATAAGATCATTCACAGTGACCTTTAAGAGAATTTCTTTAAGTGATCCAAGCAGAAGCTAGACTGCAAAAAAAGAGAGAAGAGTAAATGGTGAGGAAGTGGAAGCAGTACAGGTAAAATACTTCTATTCCTTTCTGAGTATTTACTTTCTGTAATTAAATGTGCTGCGTATAGGCCACTTAAATGACAGCCAGTAACTATGAGCAGCCTATCTCTCTTAAAGATGGGTCCTAGCTGTCTATCATTTTGCCTGTCCCACCCCAGCCACCACCCTTTCTATAAATGATTTCTACTCCCCACATCAAACTTTGGAGCTGATATGAGGAATGTATAGACTTTTAGATGTGGTACTGGAGAGAAAGCATGAGTCAGTCTTCTCTCCACATAGAAATTTTCACCTGAAAAACTTGGGCACTGTCAGCAGTCCTATTTCTCCCTTGCTGGAGTGAGCCAATCAAACTGCAAAGAAAGATACTGATTCCAGTTTTCCAAGAGAAGTACACTTAAGCAAATGGAAAGAAAGAATCCTAAAGGCACCTAGACCCCAGTTCCAATTATTCCTGAGACACAGTTACATTGCTGCCCCATTCATGGTTTACCCATTCAGCATTTCCTCAGACTCCATGAGTCGACACAGTCACCTTCCTGTCTTAGGTACTGAGTTAGACATTCGTCCCTTGAGATTTCAAATCACCTAATACAAGAAGGGGTATGTGCATGTTGTAGCAAAGGTTTGGTAGGTGTTGGGAAAACAGTGGTTGAGGAGGACAGTATGGTATTCTTGGAGTGAAAATGGAATAGAAGGCAATAAAACATTTCTTCCTATTAACGTGAAAGTGGTTAAGGACATAGACAAAGTGCTCCGCATCTCAGTCTTTAACTTGAGTGTGTGGTAAATACCAATTGTCTTTTCCTGTAGCTCAACCTAATTTGTAATAAAAGCCCTCATCCCACTGGGATGGTGGAAATTTTATCCAGCTAATCCTGACTCCTCCCTTCCTAGAAGTTCTGTGCAGGTTCCTGGGCACCACAGAGTACTACAACATACGTGGGCAGGCGGAAGAGCACGTCTGGACTTTGAGCTGTGACGGTTTCCACTAAGACATGCCTGTTTCTGCTCATGGTTTCTTGAGGTCTGGTGGCTCTTTCTGCTGTTTCCGTGTTATGCCAGTACAGGGACTCTGGCTGCTGTCTTTGTGCCTCGCTGAGGGTGCGGTAATCCCTGCGACACTAAGAACCACCTGTTTGCACACCATGACTCCATTTTCTCTCTGCAGTTCCGTGGGGCAAGAGGCAGTGGGTTCCCAGGACTGGCCGGGACTCCGAGTCTCTATTCTTACCACAATCCCAGAGGAACCTGCTAGTTCAGAGAAGGATCGGAGTGGAGTGGGAACAAGAAGCCTTCTCCTTTCCTATTTCATGCAAACATTGTGTCAATTCTCTGTTCTCCTCCTTCTCCTAAAAGTTCAGATTCTTTGCACCCAAAGCCAGTAAGGCCTCCCTGTTCTTCCCTGGGCTGAGACCAAGAACATGGAGCACATTCACTGCTTGTATGTATGGGAAGAAAAAAAGAAGAAATGCTGGAAGAAAACAAGTTGACAGGTTAATATCTCAAAAATATCATCCCAGCGCTTAGAAATGAAATAAGGGAAAATGAGAGGGATTCCTGTTAGATAGATTTGATCATCTGAGCAAAATAGCAGTGGAGAGTTTTGTGGGGGAGAGAGCTGAAAATGACAGCTGATTCAGAGGACTGCTGAGCAGAAGGATCTGGGGATCCACATTCTTGAACTTACCTGCAATGCTTCAACACATTTCTCAATTTCCTCTATCAGTTCTTGGCACCTGGGAATGACATGAGAAAGGGTTTCTGTCAAGGCGTGGATGTGAAATGTGGGGACAGCAAGAAGCTAAAAGGGATGAGGGATGCTAAGGGGCTGATGAGGAACTTATGTGATCTGGGCCACGGGGTGTAGCTTGGAGAGAGAAAGAAAGGAGGCAGGATGGAGCAAGAGACTCCAGCAATAGCGAGGAATCTCGGGAGCAGATGTTCCAAGGAGGATGAGGAGCCCATCCATCAGGAGTGAGAGTATGAGGTGTTATGGAAGGAGAAGGTCCAGAATGCCAGGTCTGACAATGTCCTGGGAGATGGTAAAGAATCTCACATGAAGGCTCACGTGCCCTGCCTCTGCTGAGAGCCAGATCTGATATTAAACCTATAGACACCCACTCTGTGCCAACATCCACCCCAGGACCTGAACTCTGTGGGCTTCCATAGACTTTCTACAAATAAATAGGGCCCAGAATCCCCCAAGGGACCCCAAAGTGCCCCTGCCAAATATATGCTTAATTCAGGGTTTCCAAGTCTTATGAAAACCAAGACTAAGACCATTCATAAACATGTAAGGCAAATGCTGAGAAATTAGCCACTTAAAAGAGTTGTATAAAGGACTCCTCATAGCCTAAAATCTACTGCATGGGCACCCGTGAATATTTCCAGAAAGAGGGCATGAGGTTTTTAATCTTCATTTTGCAAATGATTTTTTCTCCTCTTAAGGCAAGGTAAAACTCATGACTGGCTTTCATGTCTTAAGTTTTCCTATTTACTGAGAATAACACATTCCACTGAGAGACATTGTTCCAGAGGATAAAGTCCATAATGTATTTTTAAAGCTTGTGCATTGGCAGTCATAATTATTTTGCTATCTCCAATAAAGAGCTTTATTTTGCATTTCTATAGAAATTTGAAGCTTCTAAGTGTTTCAGTATCATTAGCTAGCTGATGCTTGTGGCCCTCTTATACAATGAGGTGACCCATTCTACTTTTCAAATAAGAAATGGAAACAGCAGGCATTATTTTTAACAGAGCTGGCATTTGAACACAAGAATTTCCAGCTTCCTTTTATTCAGGTAACTCCATTTCTAATCCTGCCTTATAAACTCACACATTTCTCTTTCCTCCCTGTTGATAGTATATTTCAACTGTGTCTGCTTGCTGAGGTCCTCAAAGCACAAATGTAATCATCTTCTCTATGCCTTGTTTATATCTGCTTCTTGAGAACTACAGTAATCTTACAGAAAGCTTCACCACCTTCTATTTAAAAATCTGAGACAGTAGACAGTTACTAACCATTTATGCACCAGGCATGCAAGGAAATAAACAGGTCTTTCAGGCAGGATCCTGGGCCAGTCGAGAAAGCATTTTTTTTTTAACTGGATTGGCAAATAGTACAATCAAGATCTCTGTAGGACTTTGTCCCAGACATAAAGAAAAACAGTTTTGTGGAAACTGTTTTGAGGAAACCTGAAATGCTTAAGGGCATAAAGGGAAATTTCCCAAATCTTACTTCAATAGAAATGGACAAGAACCCACAGATTCTGCACTGTGATAATTCAATTATGAACTGCAACAGACTGGACCAGCAACTCAACCGTGAGTTACAGGATTGCAAGATTCTCTGGATCACTTCCATGCAGAGCCAAAGCTCTAAGTTTAGGAATGTCATATGGAGCTCATGCTTACTATGTAAGCTTTAAACTAAAATAAAGAGGATTGAATTTATTTCACTGTTGGTGGTATGTTGTTTCCATTTCAGTTTATGCTTCACTGAGGTCTCTGCTTCTTTTCCCAAGTAGTCATGAATCATTCTTACACATTGTGTTTTAAATCCCTTTTCATGTCTGCTTTCTAACTTATTCTCAATAGATAGATGAGAGTGCTGCAGTCCACATTTCACAGATGAAACACGAGAGGTTAAGGGTATCATAGCAGAATCCACACCCAGGGCTAAGTGTGAGAGGGAGGAAGGTGAACCCTAACCTCTGACCTACATACAGGCAGTTGTGTCAGTTACACAGCCTTTCTCATCTGGGTCATGAGACTGCCTGGGGTCCAGTCACTCTTAGACAATTATGTACAGCCTTGAGAAGTACCCACCGGAAGGGGGACACTTGTTTATCACAGCACTGTATTAACTGTGTGACGCGCTGACATCCCGGGGCCTCCCAGGACTGGCCAATTCTGCCCCCACACTTCCCCGCCCCCCATACGGTAAAGGACAACCTGCAAGCCTGCCTTTCACATGCAAACCAACCAATCTGATGCCGGTAACCACCTCCTTTACCAGGCTCGTACATTCTAGGGCCACTATTCCCCTGCCCTAATCTCAGCAGGACCAGGTACCAGACAAGGAAGGACAGCTCCTATGCCCCAGAACCCACTGCAGTTATTCACCCTGGCCAATCCTAAATCCACTTACCCTGCCTCACCCATTGCTTCCTGCTGAAACCACAGCAAAGACTCTTGCCCACGTCTTCCTCTTGCCCCTTCTGCCTCCTGAGTGACCCTGGCTGCTTCCCCGTGTGGCCCTGTGTGGCATGGCATGCCTGCCCCCTCCTCTAGGGAACTATGAGTAACAAACTGTCTTTTCAATGACAGTCGTCGCCTAATCTATTGGTGTCATCATACCTAAATAATAATAAAACCTACATTTTAAAATAAGCACATTGGAAAATTTAAAATTTAAAAATTTAAACTGGGGCCAGGCAGATGAAAGATGGAGGAGGGAAAGGCAGAACAATCTCCTTTTAAGGGGAGACGCAGAGCCAGAAGGAAATAAGCCCATTTCCCTCCACCACGCAAGCACTCCAGCAATCTCCGGTGGTGCTAATCTAGCCCTCCTGACCCTCCGTAAAGTCATCCCATTCGCAATCAACGTGATTCCTGAATGGGAAGATTATCTGCTCTCTTTGACTCATCCCTCCAAACTGAAAAAAGCAACAAAAAGCAGAAAAGAAATGCGTGGCTGATGAGAAATGTCTAAATCAAGAACTCAAGCGGTCCTCCTCTAACACATCCCACGCACGCTCCTATCATAAGGCGGTACCACCAGTGCAGGGCTTGCCCCATGAAGGGGTGGGTCGGAAGGTGGCTTAAATTCCAGTGCAACACGTCTGCCTGCAGTGGGTACACAGGGCACCTACCCTCATTCTTTAAGGCATGTATTATGTATTTGAGGATAATTTCTGAACTGGAACAAGGTTTTGAGATTTTTTCTGAGGTTGGGGCTGGGAGACAGGGATTGAGACCAGTCTTTTTTGTTTGTTTGTTTCTCTATTTGTTCTTTTCTCAAGGCACTTATACACAAGACTGCCAGAGAGAAGAAAAGTTACCATACAGTTGAAATGCAATCTGCCTGTTATTGGTTTTAAAGTATTATATTCCTTTTTATTTGAAAGAGCAGATGAAAATGGAAAACTGTTAGCTATTCTAAGAATCATATCATCATAATTATCAATTTGAATTCCTATTGCGAATAGTTGCAACCACAGTAAAGTGATTTATCATCAAACTCATCTCAGGGTTTTAATTGTGTGCACTTGAATGTATTTGCATATTCTCAGCACACTTCATCATTTTCATTCCTGATAAAGCACTTCAAAAGAAGCTATGCTGTGTCAGTTCAAAATGTATTGTTCTTGCATACTCCAAAAATTATGGGTAATTGCCATCAGATTATGAATATGTTCAGGACTAAAAGTACCTGGATTTTATAAAATGGTGCTATGAAGCTACGATTTCAAAAATGCTGGTCTGGGTGTCCAGTGTTTAACATTAATTAAGAACCAGACTCTCTGTAATGTTATGTAATGATTTCTTGGGTGGCGGTTGAATTGGGCCAGCAGTATTTCCCTTGAAAGTAAAACTTTGTAAAAGCCCATCTCTTTCTGTCTCCTCAAGGGGCCAAGAGGCTACAAACAAGGAAAATGCTGAGAGGCCCCTCCAGACTGATAAGAAGTTAACCAACTGGGTTCTTTTTTTTGTCTTCTTTCCTCATCATCCCTCTGTCACTGACTCATGTTCCCCAGCATCAGGTTTTAGCTTTCAGGAGACAAAACAGACTCACAGAGTTATGTACAGGTTAATGCATCCCATACAGGAAGAAATGACATTAAACCTATTTAATGAATCCAACAAACAGAGTAGAAACCCAGCTTCCCCACCACCACCAAAAAAATGAAACTAATAATTGCACAAATCCTGCTGGAATTACACTCCACTTTTCTAATGTTTTCTTTTATTTGTACACCTAAAATGTATATTGATATAAATTCCAAGACAGCGGGAAGATCTTTGGCAGGGCTGAGGAGAGTTCACTGAAAATTAACCCTAATCTAGCCAAAAGTATTAACTCAATTCTCTTAGGCATCAAAAGTCAAAAAAAAAGTGTTAGAATACAATAGGACACTAAGTAACAGCCTCAAATATTTAAAGCAAAATTGGAAATAGACAGAAATACAGGGAAAATATGCAATTCCACCATTATAATGCAACATTTTAACATGCTTTCCCAATAATAGATCAAACACAAAATAAATTCGTAAGGTTATAGATTTCAGCAATACACAAAATGTTATGTAATGGATATATATTGAATACAATGTCCTCAAAAAACACATTCATTTTAAGTACATGAAAAATACTTATTTAAATTACTAAAATTTTTTATTTATAAAAATATTCTACTAGAGTTAACACATCTTTAAAAAGGTCAAAGAATTATGTAATTATTACTTATAATTACAAAAATATAGGTGAAAAATCTCCAAATATTTGGAAATTAAAAGCACAAAGTTAACAAGTCATAGGTCAAAGAAGAAATGACAAGGGAAATTGTAAAATATTTAGAATTGGAAGAATAACAGAATAGTACATTTACCATAAATTATGTGAAAGAAAATATTTATACAAAGTAATATTTATACTGAAATATATAGTGTAATGTCATTGTAATAGAAAAGTTAAAAAGATGGAAATTTAACTAAGTATCCAAATAATGTTAAAG